TCTTCTTCTTCTTCTTCTTCTTCTTCTTCTTCTTCATCTTCTTCTTCTTCATCTTCATCCTCCTCCTCCTCTTCGTCGTCCTCCTCCCCCTCCTCATCGTCCTTTTCATTATCCTCCTCCTCCTCCTCCTCCTCTTCTTCCTCATCCTCCTCCTCAGCCTCATCCTCATCATCATCATCATCAATGTTGAAGTGGTGTCGGTGGCCTAGTGGTTAGACTACCTGACTCGTAATCGTGAAATTGCTGGTTCGGGGGTTCGAGCCTCAGCTCGGTCCGACGTTGTGTTCTTGGGAAAGACACTTTACACGAATTTCCCCTTTGGCTCGGTCCTTTGGGAGTTGGACGTTAAACTAGGAGGTCCCGATAACCTAAAAGAGTTGATATGGACGTTAAACCTATACCGTTTCACCAATTTTTTTCAGTGTTGAAAAGGCAAAATAGTGGGAGGGATGGCCCTGACTGACTCTCAGTCTGTAAACATAAATTTTTAAAATCTAAAAAAATAAAAATGGATAATAAATCATGTATTAAAACAGCTCCACTTTCCCCTCGAAGGCTTCTTCAAGAGCAACTGGGAATAAAACAAAGACATCACAGTATTTGTGTCAAGGAAAGGGGCATAACTAAGGGGGTGAGAGCCAGGTCAAGGGGCTGATTACTTGAAAAGAAATCAATGCTTGTCTAGCAAGTTTATCAAAATATTATCTTTCTGCGCATACGAGAGTGTTCTTGTATGTCTCACTCACAGGCTGATAGTTTTGTTTTTTCTCTCCTGAAAAATTTGGTTTTGAAAGCTTAGAACTAGAACAGACAGTAATGTTGAACTGTTTAATGAGGTTATGCTTGACGTCCTTCCGATAAGGTGATACGTTTAGGCTTAGGGCAGCTGGGTGTCGAACCTACGATTTGTATACTCTCAGTCTGACAGTCTAACTACTCTACCAGCGATGCTACATTTTCATTAACAATAAATGGTTCGGGGGTTCGAGCCTCAGCTCGGTCCGACGTTGTGTTCTTGGGAAAGGCACTTTACATGAATGTCCCATTTGGCTTCGTCCTTTCGGGGATAGACGTTAAACTCCGAGTTCCCGCCTCTTAAATAAAATAATAGTGTTGATAAGTGGGGGAGGGGGAGGGGTAAACCTATACTATTTTCACCACTTTCACCGTTTTCATGGACAAATCTCTTTGATCACCTCTGCCATTGTAAACGGCAAATATCTCCGTGAGAGGTGAATAAAGATTGTCATTGTCATTGTCATAATTTTCTCTCAATGGACAATACATTTTTTGCGGTGTCATCGTCATCATCCCTCCACCGCCCACAAACCCAACAAAAAGTTATCGTGACCTGTCAGTTGTCCAGATAAGGAGATACAATAATATGCAGTATGATGACCGTGAGACCGTCAGTTTGTGGTGGGCCATTCCATGACATGTGATCCATGTAGTATATATCCTTGAGACTGTTAGTTAGTGGGTCATTCCATGACAAGTGATACATGTAGTATATATATATCCTTGAGACTGTTAGTTAGTGGGTCATTCCATGACAAGTGATACATGTGATAGCGTCAGTTAGTGGGCCATTCCATGACAAGTGATACTTGTGATAGCGTCAGTTAGTGGGTCATTCCATGACAAGAGATACATGTGATATATATATCCGTGAGACTGTTAATTAGTGGTAGGCCATTCCATGACAAGTGAATCACGTAGTATATCCGTGACAGCGTCAGTTTTGGGCCATTCCATGACAAGTGATTAACATGATAACGACTGTTAGTTAATGGTGGGCCATTCCATGACAAGTGATACACATGATAGCGACTGTTAGTTAATGGTGGGCCATTCCATGACAAGTGATACACATGATAGCGACTGTTAGTTAATGGTGGGCCATTCCATGACAAGTGACACACATGATAGTGACTGTTAGTTAATGGTGGGCCATTCCATGACAAGTGATACACGTACTGCAGAGATGATCTCCTACTGAGCAAAGT